GCTCTTTGGAATACATATTGGCTAAACACGTTGAGTAGCTCCCCTCTACTGACAAATGCTGGATATATCAATAACCAAATTGGGGATTTGAGCATGAAGTTAAGACAGGTAGCTTTTTTTTACTCGATCTGTATTGCCGTGCATGATTTCACAACCAGAAGTGATCGTCAAGATTACGCAGTCTCTCATTTAAATTTGAGTGTTCAGTAATGCATAAAAATTATTGCGAAGAATTTTGGAAAATCCCTGACGTTTTCTCTGAAAATGACACATTTCGGAGCCCAGCACATTTTTGGGCCCTGAAACTTAAGTTGGCGGTCAGTTAATATTAAGTAAGCATAGCTAACTCCCTCTGGATCGCTTCATGAATATGGTGGTTATCGTTGCCGTGGTTGTTTTGTAGCACAACCTATATAGTTATCCCTTCGCCCGAGCCTTTGACCTATTGTGCTCTGTTTGGTTTGTCATGTTCAACACACGGACCCTCTTAGGAGGATTTCGTTGTTTGATTACTTAGACATTTCCTGAAGTTCTTGAGCCGCCAGTATGCTTTTTCCCACGCATCATATATTTTGATACCGCCAGAATGGATAATCCGTTGTCTTTTGCTTATGAATCAAGCGACAAAAACAAATGAGGATAAAAAATAAGTCCGCAATAGATCAAATATCGCCTAACTGTTGTATCAACCTATACCACTTTACAGTAACTGTAGCATGTCACGTAGTTCATTGGTCTGCTCTCGTGTAGAAGCCTTAATCTTTAGAGCCTTTGTTTTCTTTCCTAGTGCCTCTTATCTTGAGCGGTGTAGTATTTGTTGGTTGAAGTCAACCCGGTGTTCAGGAGGAATTTTTGCTAGACAGGGGTAACGCTTATAGGAACGACTCTTATTCTTTCTCATCTCATATTTTGTCCACAGTTTTAACATTCAAATGAATAAGCTCCCTTTGTTGATATCTCCTCATCGTCATAGTAGCAAACCGTTCCTAGGACCTTTCTGTTGAAAGCACTTAAAATGTGTGTGTGAACCCTTTGAATTTGGAATATGTCTTTTTCTGGAGGAATCCTAAGTTTATCATTCGTTTTTTATTGAGGCCGTAACTAAACGTATTCCCCATGTATGCACAGGATTACCATTTTGGTAGCTTTTGTCTCCCTGCTCATGCTGTGCTGTAATTCAAAAGTTCGTCACATGCAGTGTTCCCAGCACTCTTTCGGGAGCTTCTGAAATATTATGCTTTAACTTTTGCAATCTCGCAGATATTTGAAAGTTCATACTTTAGAAATAGCTTAATTTTACAACTTCACAGGTAGAAAAGAAGTGGGCGCGTTGCGAGCGAGCTAACGACGTAATTGAGCAATTGGACAAGGTAAGCTCAATTTCAGGCTGACTCCTATTTTGGCATATATTTATTATATAATCGCTTGACCTCAAAGTTAAGGTAGTTTCCACATTTTAGGCTGTGAAAGACGCACATACAGTGTGTTGTGAATTGTCATGTGGTGTGCTGATGCAGCACATCAAGCGTGTAATGTTCAACCGTGGCGAAAGTTTCGAGGAGAGTGCTGATCAACGAGTTGACGAAGAGCCTGTTATCGACTTCATTTCCGCCGAAGACGTTGCTCCTCCGGCATCTATAGATGATGCGGAGTTGCCGGAAGAAGTACTTCTAGTAGAAACGGTGAATTAAATTCTGTGGTGGTGCTTTGCTGGAAATTTACGCTTCCGTTCTATGCTCTGCTGTTTTGAAGGATGTCTAATGTGAATAATTAAAGACAATGTGCAACCTGTGTTTATTGTTTTTGTGAAGATCTACGTGTATGTTCTTAGAATTTTTTTTCTGTTTTTCTGTACCTGCTACTTCATATGCATATGTATAGAAACTTGTATTACGATTTGGTTTATTTCAAAAAGAATTGTTTTAGCCGTTGGAATATTTTATGAGATCACTGCGGATAGGGTCATTTTCTTGCTTATTGCGTCGGATAATTCAGCATCCCTGACACGATGGAATTCATTTGTGCGCATTTGTTTGTCAGTGGAATTGAAGCTGCTGCTGCAACGCTACACTTATTAGAACCAGGAAATTAATACCAGTGGCAGTGGCCTTATCAAAAGCTTGATAAGGCGCCGAAACCACTTCCGGATTGCAAAAACAAAGCCGTATCGATGTGAAAGGGATTGCATTGACAGCATACTTGATGTGATACCATTATCGTCATCGCCCGTTCGTTCTCGTTGGAGAGCACTTTTCGCCAAGCTCATCGTACCATATCTTCCATGGCTTGCACTCGTCCAACAACTATCTCGCACCCGTTTGATAACAAGAGGATTAAATCCACGTGGAAGCCAGCGTGATCGCTTCCTTTAAAGGAAGCGATCACGCTGGCTTCCACGCTGGATTTGCTACCCTCGCGTTATCAATCGATAAGGTGTGAGGCAGTAATTGTTGGACGAGTGTAAGCCATGGAGGTGCACTCCAGAATGAAAACGGGACGATAACGATAACGGTATCATATCTAGCACGCTCTTATCGCACCCCTTTCCACATCGATAAGTCTTGGTTTTTGCTGAACGGAAGTGGATTTCGGCGCCTTATCACTCCGTTGATAAGGCGCCACTGCCACTGAAACTTCACGTGTTCTAACATTGGGCAGGACCCCTATCCACTCCAGTACACAGCTTTCCTTATCGTCCTATGAGAATTATCGTGACCACTTCCTTTAAGTATTTGAATTGGAGAGTACTCTCAAACTTGTTCAAACTGGTGTGGGACGGTGCAACAACAAAGAACGTGCCCCTTCCATCTTCATTGAACTCTGCAGATGACATTCTTCAGCGATTCGAATAGGTGTAGATAATCGTTTACTTTGTAAGAAGTTAGAACCCTTCGGCGCAGGGTCAACCCTACGTTGTTACTAGTAACAACGGGGGGTCGTACCTGGTTGAGTTTGTAGGAGGGGGGGTCGTACCCACTTTCAGTCGCTTGAAATCACATGTGGAGTTTGAGGTGAAACTGAAGATTTTATGGGTAGTAGGCTGGGTGAGTTGAGGGGCGCAGGAAAAAATTTGTAATATAAGCTATTCGTAGTTACCCCTCCCCCCCTTTCCCCCGCGACCTTCGCCATTTCAGAAAAAAGTGCGTAGTTTGCGTGGGTAGGATGTGGATGAGAATTAGTACTATAGGAGACATATGATTGGTTGTTCGAGGTGTGAAAAGGTTTTTTTTTCTTTATCAAAAATCATTCGACGAAAGGGGTGGGTCGCAACAATACAAAATTGCGAACAAGTACAAATATGGGGGTTGACTTCGTCTCAACAAACTCGCCGTTTAAGGATCGTTACGAACTGCTGACGTGGAGTATTCATTTGAAAAAATCAGGATGAGCCCGGGTGAAAGCTTGTTTCGCCTCACAATGCATGTCTTGGGAGATTATCACCTAAATGCAGGAGCAGGGTCAAGCGTGCGTTGAGGAATCCTCGACTCGTCACAGGAGGGGGGGGTCGTATTGGCCCGCTGGATGGAAGAGATCGGACCGGATTGATGCAGTAGGATCATCGCTGTCGGAGAACAAATATAAAGGATCGAATCAATGCCATTGGAAAGCCAGAGGACCTCCAATAACAATTTTATACTCCGCCCACATAAAATTTTTTGTAATTCAGATGTGTCCGCGTAGTAATTCTGCAAAGTTACTTCAATGTGTTTATCATCTTCCCCACACACGTAAAGGCCTATTATTCTCAGTTACTTCAGTGCGATGATCACCGACACAAGTCAAAGAATCCGAAATTCGCACGTTTTCCAAGGGGATATTTTATCTTTCAAGTGAGTCCTCGAATCTGAAGGGATGTGAAGCACACGGCGCATCCCAGAGTGGGCCCAGTTGGTTGCGCGCGCTTCAACTACGGCTCTGGAGAAAGAATCTCAATTCAGGAAAAATCAAGAGGATTCTGAAAGGGTTCATGTGAAATTACAGGGAGGAGTACACATTCAACAAGAAACGCAGCCTTCAGCGTCAAATTCATAAGCATGTAACCTTTAAAGTTGAGACACGCTAAACAATTTTACACTTTTGGAAAGAGAAAAGCACGAGGATTTCGAATCTGCTCCTACTTTAGTATAATCGCCCCTGAAAGGAGCTATAGTCGTTGAAATAGTGCCAATGCAGCGAAAAAGTACCTTTCGGCGGTACTCGGGCAAAAATCCTCAATTTTTTAAATAGTGGACGTATTTAGCAGTTCTACAACCGTTGAATAGAGCAAATCTTCTAGTTTATGATGACGTATTAACTTTTCAGATTGGATGAGTTTGAACGGAGTTATGGCTTTGGAAAGCGTAAAAACTCGCACTCATCACGAATTTTCCTCGTTAATTTTGCAAAAATCCTCAACGTGGCCATTTTTTGAATACTGGACGTATAAAGCTGCTTTAGCAACCGTTTGATAGAGAAAATCTTCTAGTTTTGTATGCCATATTAACTTTTCAGATTTGACGAAAATGAAGCAAGTTATGGCTTCGGAAAGTGTAAAAACTCGTGCTCATCATGAATTTTCCTCGTTAATTGATCTAAATTTGTTATTTCTTATAACTTTTTGTAATTTCAATACTGATTAGAAAGAGCTCTTCACAAAACTCCCAAATCTGCTTTCAGATTGAAAATTCGTTAACTTTGAAGAAAGTTATAATCATTTGAATATTTGTTCAAATTTCAATAGTAAATAAGCTGCTCCACGGTCAACGCCAAAGTCCAGTCAACACACAGCTGGCGAAGGCGGTTACAAGGCTTCTTCAAGCGAAAGGGGACGTGTAAATTGAGAACCAATCTGTGTAGTACTAGAATTTGGTAAGTCTTGTGAAGGAAATAAATAAAGAAGAGATGTTGTCATAGTATGCCATTTTTAGTGACTAGTTTGTCGTTTTTTGCTCCGTTTCTCGTTTGCTCGTTTGGTAGGACTCATCAATAATGATCATTCTTTGACTTTTTCACTTTGTACTTCTTAAACGAATTTTTTGGTGGACGGTGGGGTAGCAGGGCTTTTTTATGAACAGTTTTGGGGGAGAATTCATAGTTCGGCTTTTGAAGAGGGTCGTTTCATGGACTTCGGCCTCTGGAGGAGGGGGGGGGGTCGTATTTCCAAATTTTCCTCGACGGTTCGCTTGACCTGCCGGAGGATGAAAAAGATGGTGGGCCATCAACGCATGTGGCCACAACCAGATGTTTGAGCCCTGAAATCGGCGCAATTACAACTACATCCTTCGCTCTCCTTTCCTAGACTTTCAAAAACAAGATCGGTCCTCGTATAAGGTAGAAAAACTGATCTCGAAGCTGCAGCAATTAATTAATTACGAAAACGTCATTCAAGAGTTTATATCTTTATTCAGCAGAGCTCTCATAAGACGGGTTCAAAAAAAAACTTAAGAAAAACTCAAATTAATTTCTTTCTAAATAAAAAATTTCTAAACTATGGCACATGTTCAGTTCTTCAAATAATTGTAAAGTTGTTCAGTTTTATTGTGTACAGCGAGTTTTTCAACATCTCAAGCGTTCATGAATTCCTTCATAAGCAATTTTTTTGCAGATCTCTCAGGCTAATTTAACGCTTCCGCAAGCACTGAAATTTTTTTTTCACAAACATCATTCCCTTAAGAGAACAGTCCTGTTGTTCCTTTTTCGATTTTTTTTTGATCTGGACGTATATAGAACGGCTGCGTTATTACGTTTTCAATCCTTTGCAACTTCCTACATAATTGACTTTTTGCAGACTTTTAAGGCTACGTAGAAACATGAAATTTAGGGCTTTTGGAAATATACTAAAGCCTCTTTGCGACTACCACTTCAAAAATAGTCCCGTTGTTTTGTTTTTTCCTCCATGTGAAGACATGAAGGAACAAAAGAAAAGAAAGATAAGGAAGTCTAGGCCATTCTCCTAGAAGGCGAATTTTCAACTTTCAAAAACCCATTAGTTTCTTCCTTCTTCTTTTTCTTCTTCTACCCAGCCTTAGTCCCGCGCAGTCGTAGGCGTACCCTGCTGATTGCTCGGGCGTCGCACTGTGACTCTGTCGAGGCCATCCTTCTGCTGTGGCCCGTGATTTCATTAGACGTACGTCTGCATTACCGCACCTCTTTTTTGGGAGCTCCTCGTAATCGCTTGCCTTGCACTTCGAAGTCCATCGCATTCTTTATCGGGTGGCCTTGCGGTCTTCTCAGCACATGTCCATACCACCGCAGTCGTTGCTCCCTCACCTTCAGCTGGACAGGGGCAGTCTGCATGACCGCTCTGACATCCTCGTTCCTGACCCTGTCCAGTCGCGTCCAGCCGCAGGCCCACCTCAGCATCCTCATCTCAGCGAGTGAAGCTGCCTTTCGTGATTCTTGTTCAGGGGCCAGCACTCGCTGCCGTAGAGCATCGCAGGCCTTACCACTGTCCGGTACACCTTCCCTTTGAGCGCTCTGGAGCACCTTCGATCGCAGAGGATTCCAGTGGACTCCCTCCATTTCATCCATGCAGCGTTGACCCGAGCCTTCACCGCCTGATCCACACTACCGTCGGCTGCCAGATCGCTCCCAAGGTATCGGAAGTCCTCCACTCTTTCGATGGTCTCACCATGGCCGTCCACGATCGGCTCTGCACCCTCTTCGGAGCTCAGGAACTTGGTCTTCTTGACATTCAGCCGGAGCCCACCTT